TGTGTGTACGGGGACGCCTCTTCTAACATCATCCCCGCAGCTGGGGAGGATCTTTTAATGCCGAGGTCTGGGAAACAGAAGCAAGGCCTTGGGGTCCCACCCCACCAGATCCGCCTCCCTCTTCCTTTCCTCTTCGAGGTTTTATTAGCCAAATAAAGGAAGAGGGTAAGGGCATCCGAGGCTATCTTTTTCTCCCGAAGAGCAGGAAATCAGGACCCCCTTCCTCCCCGCAACAAATGGAAATGGGGCGAGAAGTCTGGGAGGGCAGTACGACGGGGCGGGGGCGGAGCAGGTCCTTTGATCCTTGAAAAGGAATATTATGATAGGGGATCATTGGGAAGGAAGAGGACAGAACAGTTATGGGGGGCAGGAGGCGAGTTTCCCCCAGACTCCTCCGATGTCAGTCCCTGGTCCCACCACTTCCGTCAAGGACGAATGAGAGCGGGCTGGTACCGTCGCCCACCCTCCCCCTGTCCTGCAGTCCCCCCGCCCCGTCCCTTACCTGGCTCAGAGCGCAGCCGGGGCCAGAGGAAGGTTCTGGAAGAAGTTCCTCCCACCCCCTGCGGCTCTCTGCCCCCAGCTCGGGGGCCCTGCCAGCGACTCTTGCCGCCCCCCTGCCCGACGGCGCTTCTCTGAGCTACCGCGGCCCCGGGACGGGCATTAAGTAGCCGCTCCAAAGGCTTCTCCCGCTGCCATGGCGACGCTCCGCCCCCATAAACAGCTTCCGCCGCTGCTATTGGTCAGTACGTCTCCAAGGAGACCGCGGGCACTTGCCACTCTCTCTGGCGGCAACTCTCTTCGAACTCCCTCCTTCTGCCGCCCTCTCCCGCGCCACCCAACCCCCTACCCGCCGCTACACCCCGGCTCGGCTCATTCCCGCCCAAGGGCCCCGCGCTGGGGTCGGAGAAGCGCGCGGCCCGCGGCACCGGGAACCGCTATGGATCCGTTCGTCCTGGGGAACTACGACTCTCGCCCCCACCCCCTTTCTGTCCCGGTCGCTCTGAGGCGTCGACTGCTCCTGGGACGGAGCCTACGGTTGGGGGGCTAAGGCTGGGAGCGGACTCAGGCTCGGGAACCGTATCCTTGAGATTTTCTTTCCTCTCCGCTACGAGTGGCGCTTTCTCAAGTTTCTGCAGCCCTTCCCTCTCCCCTGACTCTTAGGGTCTTTCTCTGGTGCCCCAGGCAGGTCTGACTTTCCGATGCCACCTGCCGCTTACATCCACAGAGGCGGCAGACACACCCAGGAGGCAGGGTAATCCAGCGAGTCCCAGTAAGCAGCTCTTTCCCCACCCGTATCCTCGAGGTTCCAGGAAGCTGACATTCCAGAGGCTTCCGCAGAAGCGCACACACTCCTTTTGGAGAGAGCTGATGAAGCAGAGTCCGTGGGTAAAACTCTGAAGTCATGGACTTGTCAAATTCTCCTAGCGGGGTCATTTGCCCAATTAATTTCACCAACCTTTAAGTGACAGGGATTAAGAGTAGAGGGACTCTGGGGACTGTGGCCCTTCCTCCTCCCTTCCCCTGGCCTCCCTCCTGTCACCAGCTTTCCTGCTCTTTAATTATTGAGGAGCTGCAGGGTTGGACGTTCTCCGGTTTAAGGCGGCTGCAGAGGCAGTGGTGGGGGCTGGGTTGCTTACCTAGCCTCTGCCCAGGAGCTGGAGAGCTGGGGTCGGGAAGCCTGGTGCTCAGGCCATGAAGAAAGCCTGGCAATGGCCCATCACTCCCCCGCCAACGTGCCTTTCCCTAGCCCTTGCCTCTCCCACTCCTCCAACTCCAGATCCTCTTGAGTAAAAATATTAAAGAGTTCTGGAGAAAGACAAACTTTCACAGATAAGCTCACTTTGCAGTTAGCTCTCCTTCCCTTGTAAACAGTTTTATTCATTTTTAAGAATCATGCAGCAATCCATAAATGTTGCATTCTTGATGTCCCCACTGTAGTGTGCCCACAAGTGTACTCCAGGGAGAGGGGTACACAGACGGCACAAGCAGTATACACATGCACACACCAGGTGTGCAGACCAAAGCAAAGTGAGTGACCAGCGTGCCAACTCCAGGTGGGCAGGATCCTAACTCTCCAGGTGAGACGGCTTAGAGTGTGGGGGGTCTATGCCTAGGAGATGCCTCAGTGGGGGTAGAAACTCTGGTGGGATGGAACTGGGCAGAAGGAAAAAAGGGCTCTGTGAGGAAGCCGGGATCATACTACCTGAAGGCAATAAAGAGAGTACAGGCCTAGTGCAGCAGGAAGGAGCCCTGGGTCTCCCATAGTTAGGCTGTGCCCTGTGGGAGAAGCCAGGCCCACCTCTTCTCTTTGGGTGAACTGTTGATGTGACTATGTGACTGTCTCCAGATGAAGGACTGGGGCAAGAGTTGGCCACTGACCTGTCCTCATCAGGCTGACTGAGGACCAACTCCTTGGATGAAGTATTTCTGTGGGCCACAGAGCTAAATGACAGCCAAGAGAAGGCAGGGGGACAGAAGAAGAGGAGAAATAGTTACTAAGAAAACAAGTAAAGGACATTTCCAACCTAAGTATGCCTTGGACATGGGGCTGAGGCCTTGAGGAATCTTTCTGTGCTTCTCCCTAGGAGAGGACTGAGCACCTGATGAGGAAGGACACAGATCCTCCAGGAAGGGGGTCCTGGCCACTGCGGTTACTGTTTACCTCAATCTCCTTCATCTCAGCTCCTTCCTCCCTCCTCCCAGGTAACACCACACTGTGAATACTACCTGCAGGGGACAGGACAGGAGGTGGTCTGTGTGCCAGCACTCCAGGGTAAGGGAAGCTCCCTGTCACCTGCTGCTTCTGGGCTCATATTTCAGGGAAATCAGGAAGTGGGGTTATTGCTCAGCTTATGCATCTCAACTATGAAAGGGGCGGGAAGAATGTAGGGGGAAGGAAAGGACATTAGGTGGGGCCTGAAATGGTAAAGTCTACTGCAGTATTTCAGAGAGGGTGGAGGACGCGCTCCACGCCATCAGGGCAGGATGGAAGCCACAATCACTAGTCAGTGAGACTGTCACCGCACTCCTGGCCTCTGCAGCCACACAGGAGCAAAGGACCCCCTGGGTGCCAGGCTCTTTTTGAGGCTATCTGCCTTGGAAACACCTTGACTTTTTTTTTTTTTTTTTTTTTTTTTTTTTTTTAAGACAGTTTCGATCTTTTCGATCTTGTTACCCAGGCTGGAGTGCAGTGGCGCGATCTCGGCTCACCGCAACCTCCGCCTCCTGAGTTCAAGCGATTCTCCTGCCTCAGCCTCCCAAGTATTTGGGATTACGAGGCATGCGCCACCACGCCCGGCTAATTTTGTATTTTTAGTAGAGAAGGGGTCTCTCCATGTTGTTCAGGCTGGTCTCAAACTCCTGACCTTAGGTGATCCGCCCGCCTTGGCCTCCCAAAGTGCTGGGATTACAGGCATGAACCACCATGCCTCGCCAAAAAGCTCTTTTAGGGTAACAATTCCAAACCCTAAGACAAGTCCACCACAATGGGCACAGCCTATAAGGCTCTCCCACATCTCAACCTCACAAATAATAGTTGTTTCTAGCTTTGCTTTCCAAATAATCTCATGCCCTACTAAACAACCACCTTTTCCAAAGACCAGTAGACAACACATGGAAGAGCCACATGGAATCCACTGATGACACGCACGCTGAGGAAGGCAGAGCAGCCACCACCTCACAGTCCAGCTGTGCTGTTTCAGCTCTTGTATTTGTGACCTCACACTGGACTGGGGCGGGGAGTGCCCACGAACAGAACACTATTTCTGAACTGCCAGTCAGCATGTGACTGGCTCCACCTCCCTCTTCGGTGATTAGGCTCAGTAGCTCTGGAAGGCAAGGGAAGAACACATGGAGGATGGGGAGAGCCCTTGAGGTGAAGGCCCTGAGCCCTGATTCCAACCTCTGCTCCCAGCGCACTGCTGCTGGCCACATGCTGCTGCCTGAACTTAGTTCAAGGCTCTCCACCACTTCCTTTGGGGACCTGGGCACCAAACTGAGAATCACTGGTTCACATTTCTCTCAACCATTAACAAAAGGGGGTAGAGATGGGGGCAATAGGGACAAGAATGCCTCCCGGGTGAGTGAAGATGAAATATATGACCACTCCTCACCCAGTGCTTGGCACACAGAGGTGGTTGACACGTTTCTTGAAATGTCACCTTAGGATGGAGTCCCAGGCCTCCCTGAATGCACCTGATCAGGAGAAATGCTCCTTAAGGGAAATCATCTTAACTGGGGAATTCTCAGATTCAAGGGCTTCTTCTTAAGCAGACAGGCATGTGAGGCCCAGGAGACTGGCTCTGCTACCAGAAGGAAGGATTGTTTCAACCAACCAACCTTTTGGTTGCTACCATTTCTTGTCCTTGAGAAAGGTGCTCCTAGTGCTTGTGAAGGGAAATGCCATATCCGTGCAGTATTGCTCTCCCTTTTCACAGGAGCCATCCTCCAGCCCTACCCCAAACTGCAGGTTTCCAATTGGTTATGATGTGCCAAACACGGGGAAATGCCAGAGGGATGTTTGTAACAAAGCTGCCAAAACTCTAAGCCTTCTTGTTCTACCCCCTAAGGAGAAAAAAGATGTGTAAGAAATTAGCCCATGGACCCCAGCTCCACCTGAACATCAAGATACTGTGGGGGCATTCCAGAGTCCCTGCAAAGGGTCTCGTGAGCTGCAGTTCATTGAGTGGCTTTAGGTCACGGGGAGAAAGGAGAGCTCCAGTTCCCTCTGAGAGGTGAGGGATTGTGGTTACAGGTTGTAACAGCTGTCACAGGAGGGTGAAAAGTCTCCAGCATCTTGCTGAGGATGCCCAGGAGGCAGCAGCTGAGTGAGGATGGAAGGAATGCAGGGGCAGGAGAGGAGCCCAAGTGCAGAGGCTGGGGCTCAGACAGCCAAGGGGCCCCACACACAGGGCGTCGTCTCAGAGTCCTCCAGGCTGCTGGATGACAAGCGCCGGCGCTGGGCATTTCGACTGACGGCATTGTCATCAGCCTGCCAGGCACCTGGGGAACAGAAAATGAACATTACAGGAGCCAGACCTTTGGCCAGATCCAGATGGTGTCTCCAGCAGGGCAGCCCAGGAGTCAGCACGGAAGGAGCAGGATGCGTGTCACCTGAGACTTCGATGAGGGTGCGAGCCACAGCACTCGTGCGTAAGAACGGAGAGAAGCAGGTGCTGACAGGTGCAGAGGCTGCTCCTGCCCCCTGGGCTAAGTACAGTCACTGCCACTGTGGCTCCCAAACAGGGAGAGACATGAAATATGTTCCTTGTTTTGTGAACTTACCCTGGGATCCACTTTCGTATTTTAATTACTTGGTTTTAAAGTTTGCCTGTATGTTACAATAGACAGGAAAAGGAAATTGGGCCTCGCTGAGCTATTTTCATCGGGGCAGGAAGAGGTGGGGGGAAGTGAGAAGACTGTTCGTTCTGGCCCGAAGTGTTAATGTTTTCTGTGGGGGCCCCGGGGGGCAGGAAAGGACTGGCCACCCAGCAGGGTTTCTGGGATGGAAGGCTGCCCGGAGGGAGGACAGTGTGAGGCTCCAGCCCCCATCACCTGCCGTTTTCCTCTCCTCCTGCACCCACACAGCTGTTGAGGTTTGCTACTAGCTGGTGCCATCAGCCCAGCAGACACCAGCCCGAGAGCCTCGGGGTCCCACAGATACCACCACTGAACGCATCCTCTCCCCAAATCTGCTGTTGTCCCCACGTGAGGAGCGCCAGTGCCCATCTGGAAACCCATTCTTGGTGCTTCTCTTTTGTGTTCTGGATCCAATCCTCCACAACCTCCTGTGGGCTCACTTCCTAGCGGTGTTGTGACTCCATCTGTAGTCACACTAACCTGGGCTCCACTCCCAGTTTACAACAGTGTGATCCGGGGCACATCAATTTACTGTGGGCCTTGGTTTTCTCATCCATCAGATGGGAGATGAGTACTGACCTCACAGGCTTGCTGTGAGGACTAGATGAGAGAATGCGAGTGTTGGTGAGTATCTGACTCCTAGAACAGCCTGTGCTCAGGCTCCTCCAGGCCATCTCACCTCTCCCCTGAGAGTCCTCTTCATCTCCCGCCCACAGATGAGCTCACTCCCTCCAGTGCCCTCCCTCCAGTGAGGCTAGAGCGCTCGCTCCTGCCTTGGGCCTTGGCTGCCTCCGCTCTCAGGGCCCCCTGGCTCCCTGGGGTAGGGAAGGCATGTTGTCCTCCGGACCCTGTGGGCCTCCCAAGCATGTCTCCCAGTGCCCTCCCCTCACAAGGCACCTCTGGCAGGGTAAGGCACAGTGTGCTCCTAAGTGCTCCCTGCAGCCTGAACTACTGCTCCACGCATGCCTCACACAGTGGAAAACGCTAGGTCCCGGAGCTCCTCCATGGGACGAAGCTCCTGCTGGGCAGGGGCTGTGACTTCTTCACTGTTGCAGTCCAGAGCCCAGCACAACACCTGACCCACAGGAGGACCTGTTCAGTGGATGAGGCCGACCAACTGTAGAGTGTGGCCGTGAGGTTGAGAGGCCACTCACAAGTGTCCAGGGTCAGCCTCAGGCCAGCCCAGGACATGAAACCCTTTAATGGCACGTGGAGTCAGCAGGTATAAATGGCTTATTTCCATCAATGCCTTGGTGTGCTAATCCACCTCAGACTCTAGTAACAGTCTCTGGTGCTTGACCCCAGGGGAACAGTGAGAACAGGAGAGTCTTGGATCTCTATCACATCCAAACTGAATTTGGGATCTTTACTCCCTGGGGGTGGGTACTGGAGCCTGGGACATGAGTCAAGTTGTTTTTTTCACCTCTAATGGTGGCACTATGTGTCTAAGTGTGGCAGGATGAATGTAAGGCAATATTAATGTTGCCTTTAAAGTGAGGAACCCAAAATAAAATGAGCTGTTTGTTCATTCATATAATTTGGTAGATCTCATACCTATTCCTCAATGTTTATGGGGCAGGACTCCGGAGCTGCGGCTGTTCAGTAGGAAAGACCAAAAGCAAATGGTAAACAAGAGAGAAGACACACATGCATGCACAAATAAAAACAGCAGCACCACCACCACCGCCACCACCAGCAAGCCACGGAACGCTGGGCCTGAGAGGCTGCCCAGAGAGCCGTCCTGACTCTGAATTCACAGGAGTCCTCGGTACAAACTCCACCCTTCTATTCTATAGAAGTCTTAGCCAGGGCAGAACATCGGTTACTTGTGGAAGACTCAAGAATCAGATCTGAAGTTTGCTCTCCTGGCCTCTTGGTAAGCTCTGTGGTGAGGGAGATTCGGCAGCAAGTCGGGGGGGCCCTTCCCCTGGCAAGGACCCTGAGGGGCCCACGGCAAGGCCCTGCTGCTGCTTTCTCCTCAGCCTCATTCCCACGGTGAGCCTGGCTGCGGAGAGTCAGTGTGGGTGCTGAGGGGCCTTCCAGAGCAGGTGCCGCCATTTTGTCTGGCCTGGAGGTCCCTCCAGCCAAAAAATGGAGCATAGAGATATAAAATCCTTAGAGGGATATGGGTAACAGTGCTTTCCATTCACATCTCATTTTTTGGGATATCAAAAATGGGAGTATAAAGAGACCTCTAGAGGTAGATTTTGGGAGTACATTTAGGAAAATTTCACAAGCCCCTTTCCTGCCTCTTATTAAATGTAAGGACTGTAATAGTTCAACTGTCTTTGTAGGGTTGCTCTCCAGGGGAAGGAGGAACTTAGTTTGAATTTTTCCTTAGTGCCCACAAAGTGCAAGTAGCATCTTAGTCTTGGGTTTTGAGGCCTCTCAAAAAGAGGAGATAATTCAATTTCAGGTCTCCACAAACCTTTTTAGATTTCACTGGATATGCTCATTCCAGTGGAATACAGTCATTTAAAAATTATATTTGTATTCCCACTAAAAAGACCCAAATTATCTTTGCCTTTGTTTTTTTTTTTTTTTTTCCTCAAGATGGAGTCTCACTCCATCTCAGCCTCCCAGGCTGGAGTGCAGTGGTGTGATCTTGACTCACTGCAACCTCCGGTTCCCAGGCTCAGTCGATCCTCCCGCCTCAGCCTCTTGAGTAGCTGGGACCTGGCTATTTTTGTATTTTCTGTAGAGATAGGGTTTCACTGCATTGCCCAGGCTGGTCTCCAGCTCCTGGGCTCAAGTGATCACTCGCCTCGGCCTCTCAAAGTGCTGGGATTACAGGCATGAGCCACAGCGCCCGGCCTATCTTTGCCTTTTTCCATCACTGACTACCCCAGGGCCTTCAGAGAACTGTCACTTGCCATGATGACTATCCTGCCACCTGTGTAACAGTCCACCAAACTCCTTGGAGCCACATCTGCTTAGCATGGTCTCGCAATTCTAGTCTTACTACCACCTGTCACACCTGTCAACTGAGATCTCCTTCCTTTATTCCTTTCAGAAGCAATCTCAGAACACACCACTCCCCAGTGAAAAACCAAAAATCCACCCTTGGTCTTGGGGCTCAGGAAAACCCAGAAGTTTCTTAGGGGGAGCGGGGCTGGAATGACAAAAGTGCCTCTAAGCCCCTCACCAGTGTGACCAGAGTGGTGAGGATAGGAACCAACAAGGTTCTCAGTTCTTGCCACCAGCCAGGTCTCCTGGCAGAGCCTGTGAGCATGGCGCAGGGCACAGGGAGAGCATGGGAGGCACCCTGGGTTCCATTTCCCACTGGCCCTCCATGAAGGGAGTGGCACCCGCTTGAAGAAGCAAACAGACTCAAGCAGAGACCAGGCGCATGTGCAGCTGTCCTGATGGGGAGAGAGCTGGCTGCAGGAACAGTCATGAGCTAAGACAGCCAGTGGTATCTCAGCCCTAGGATAGAAAACTGAACTTACAGCTGAGTGTGAAGAGGCTTATTTACTCCAAGAGACCTACCAAAGTGGATATTCCTGTCTGTAACCTAGCAGACACTTCCAGAGAGTTCTCCAGCAAATCTGCTACCAGTGGAACCAGAGACACATTTTGCCTAGAGAGATGTGCTTTTCCCTCTCAAGTAAAAAGGGAACCAGAGGTTTTGAGACATCACTTTCACCCAGCTACTGACCAAGGATGTCAATTAAAAACAAATCATGGCCAGGCACAGTGGCTCACACCTGTAATCTCAGCACTTTGGGAGGCCAAGGTGGGCGGATCACCTGAGGTCAGGAGTTCGAGACCACCCTGACCAACATGGTGAAACCCCGTCTCTACTAAAAATACAAAAATTAGCTGGGCATGGGGGCGGGCGCCTGTAGTCTCAGCTACTCAGGAGGCTGAGGCAGGTGAATCACTTGAACCCAGGAGGCGGAGGTTGCAGTGAGCCAAGATCGTGCCACTGCACTCCAGGCTGGGTGACAGAGCGAGACTCTGTCTCAAAAAAAATAAAAAACAAAAACAAAAAACCCCAAATCCTTTCCACTGTCCTTGCCACAGAAGCATTCCCATTTTTATTGAACAGAAATTAATATAGTCTCACACATTTTTTTTTCTTGGAAAATCTTAGTATATTGAATACAGGCCCTCATCTTGAGGCCTCTGGTGAGGATATAATGGGACATTTACAGTGCCGATACCTGAGGCCCTCTCCCAAGAGCCATAATAGGCATGTGATTTCATGTCTGGCACAAACTGTGAGCACATCATCTCTAAATAGCTGGCTCCACAAGTCACCCTAAGGAACCCCAGGGCTTCTCTCTTCCTCCCAGTCCTCACTCTCCTCCTGTGATCCCATGGAGTAACTATCAACAAGCAGGTCAGCTGGGGGGAGTCAGGAAGAGGAGGAATAAGCTCAGTTTCCACTAGCACTATTGGCTAAAACAACTCCCAGCAGCTCCCTCTGCCAAAAAAGTAGGGGTGGGTAAGGGAGCCCCTTGAGGGAGGCAAGAACCTAAATTTATCTCCTGAAGCCAAGTAAGGGGTTGACCAGGGTAGAGCTGCCTCAGACACAGGGCACGGTTAAGGCAGAGACATCATCTTGACGGAGGATGCCAATTAAAACCAAATCCTTTCCACAGCCCTTGCCACAGAAGCATTCCCATTTTTGTAAAACAGAAATACAGTCTCACAAATATTTTTTTCTCAGAAGATCTTAGTACCCTGAATACAGGCCCTTGCCAATCAGGAAAGGGAGCCTTGCTCACAACCCCAAGCGAGCGCCTCCCAGGTGTGTGCGTGCCCAGCAAGCTTGGACGGGGCAAAGCATTGGCAGGGAGGACAGTACTGGCACGGAGTGAACAGGAACTTTCATACCAAGTCTAGAGAACATACATGAGTTTAGAAAATAAACAAACCAGACAGATTTACACTTGCCAAAATGATGTGGAACACAAATGGACAGATGGAAGCCAGGCCAGGAGGGGGAAGGCAGGGAGTGAAGCAGCCCTTGGGCCCCAGCAGCTCCAGTCCAGGCCTAACTGGCAGGAGTCTGGCCCCGTGGTCAGCGCTCCCTCCTCCACGCTCAGGCAGGAAGCGGGTCTTCCCTGGGCCTGTGCAGGAGAAGCAGGGGAACCGATACTGCCTCTTTTGGTCTCACTGAAGATGAAGAGGCCTGGGCAGTGCCTTTAGAACAAACTAAATAGAAAATGACTCAAGAAAGCCCTTTGAAGGGCTGGAGAAAGTGTCTCTAGGGAATTCCAGCTTCCCCTGCCACGAGCTTGTGTGGGGCCAGAGTGTGCTTGGACTGTGTCTTGCACAGGCTGATGGAGAGTGGCAACCACAGAGGTCGTGTGGCTCCAACGCCTCCAGCCACGTCGCTGAGCGAGTAAAGCACTGGACCCGTGATGTGGCTGTTCTGAAGCTGAAGTGAGTCTTCGTTCGGGGAATGTTTAAGAGGATTCAAACAACACGGTGTGAAGGACAATCTCTGTCCTGAAACCCGGAGGGGACATCTGACTGAGTCCACCTGGGCAAGATGTGGATTTTAGAAAAGCAGTTTTTAGAGCCCTTGAATGGGCACATTAACTAAAAAGGCACTCGGTGCTCAGTGTGTGATTAACCTGATCCTGTGTAAGACATTAGCTAGATTCGGTTTAGCATCATAAGGAGGAATAAGGGGCACACTGACAACCTGATCACCTGTGAAGTTACAGCTCCAGGGAGCATAAAGGAGCCCTAACTTGACCTCTCCGCTGGGATCTAAATCCAGTAGTATGTACAATGCAACCAGTAACCCAAAGCTCATGGATCACAGAGCCATGCCCTAGCCTCTAAAATGCTGACTTTCACATTCCTCTCCGATCCTAGCTGAAACACTTTTCTTCTGAGGAGCTACGGCTTCACTTTTAAAGGGTTCAGGCAATCCTTCCAAGACCTTCGTAGAGAGGTGGTATCTGTCTGCTCAAACTTCCTGTTGATGAAAACAAGACCAGGCCACCTGACATGGCACCTGCAAGGCCGTGATGTGGGGTGGAGAGTGGTTAGGCCAAATCATAAGTTTTGCTTCTTTCTTCCTATCCTAATATTCTCACTTAGAGCAAGGCTGGCTCATTGCAAAAAGCTCAAGGACTCTCCCAGGCCTTCTTACTTCCTTTCAGCAACTGGTCTCCAGCACTAGCACACCCCAGGCCTTCTTGGCAGGAACTGCAGGGCAGGAGATGGGTGTACCAGGGTGAGAGCAGGGGTAAGAGCACAGGAATCGTCTCCCACCAAGTTCATGTTCAGCAGACTGCCACTCACCAGGTAAGCAGACCTCAGAGCACAGCTTATTGTCCAGTGCTTTCACGCTTGCGATGTCAAAGTCATTGTTATTGTCACACTCCATACCTAGAAATGCGCATGTCCTCTGGCCTGTAATGGAGTTAATGCAGTTAGAGAGGTGCTGGCTGTGTTTTTCTCTGCATTGCTATCCTTAAAATAAAAATCTTAAGGATGGAGACCAAAAAAAATCAAATGATGTGTTAAAAAAAAGACAATAATTTAGTGGGTAAAGAGTGGACAAGAAAGGAATCACATTGTGTGGCATGTCTGTATTCTCACGCTATCCTGCTGTTCCCCTAGAGCCCTTTCCGTCTGCTGTTCCCTAACAAGTCAGATCGCTGAGGAGGGCTGTGGGACACAGGCTCAACAGAGAACACTAGAGCGAGCAGAGCTGGGCAGAGGCCAGGCTGGTGAGGCTGCAACCAGCCGGCAGAAGCTAGGGAGGGCCAGTGGGGAGCTCATCCTGCTCATGCCTGCGTCTGCCTTGGGTGCGAGCTGGGTGTGTTTATGACCACATGGCTCTGCAAAATAAGTACATGAAACAACAACTAAAGGTCTTAGGGTCCATAATTTTGCATATCATATCAGAATGACTACATTCACAAAATTATGATTTCCTTTCTTATGAGACCTCAGTTGTTATTTTCAGTGTGTTTTAAGTGGCTAACCAGAAATCTACGGACATGTAAGAAGGGAAAGGAAAAGTTTTAAAAGGTGTCTTTTTTTAAAATCAAGCTCCCCTCTTTTTTTTCTCAGTGAAAACAGACAGAATAAAACAAATCTATTCC